TAGCCTTCACCTAAGGAAAAGCATGTATACAGAATTAATGAATGGATGGATGAAACATTTACTGGAAATCAAAACATCTATAACCCAGTATTAATCATATGGGTATTAATTACATTAAAACTGCATTTCATCTAAGTTTTATATTGAAAACACCCCCTCCTATATCTCTCTGTGTTTGCAGCTCAACTACAGAAGAACAGTGGAGATATCTGTCCATGTGAGACACCCTGTAATCTAACACGCTATGGCAAAGAGCTGTCCATGGTTAAAATCCCCAGCAAGGGCTCTGCTCGCTATCTCTCCAGGAAGTATGACAAGTCAGAGGACTACATCAGGTAAGAAGAGGGACGTTCAACAGAAACCAGGTTACTTCGAACAGTGATATCTTTATCAGATGGGGAGCCATAAACTGTGGCATCCAGTCTGTGATAACAAACAACCACTAGTGGGAACATTGAAATAGATTTTTATCCAGACATCAGTTTTATATCTGTTCCAGTAGAAGGTTGTTGAATATTGGTATTCTTTTTTAATCAATCAAGTGGTGATAAATATTTATTACTGTGTTTATTTTGTGTGTTAGACTTTCTTTCACTAAAAAGATAAACCTTTGATCAAAAAAGCTAATAGACCAGTGCCTGAAGTTAGTAGTGAAAGTGATTAGATAACCTCCACAGGGGTTATGAGCAACATTTAAATGTTATAATATTCATGTATTCACACCCCTTGAGCTTGTTTACACTTTGTCAAGTTAAAACCTCAGACCTCAGTGTGCTTTAGGTGGATTTTATGTTACAGAGAAACTAAAAGTGAACAGCATTGACAAGTCTGGCGATTAATATTACGGTAAATTAAGATTTAAATATTTACTGGGGTATTCTAATACTTGCTGGAATTGATCTAAAACCATTTTAAAACAGCTCTTTCTTGGCTTGGTATGATACTACCACCACCATGTTTTATTGATAGTTTAGACAATGGTAATAGACTGGTTAAGCTAGCAGCTATCTGATAGATTACAGCTTTTTTATATTAATATTAAATCGTCCTCACCTTTAAGAGTTGGTTATGGTGCACCTCAAGGTCCCATACATGGGCCACTTCTCTTTGATATTCTGTGACAGGTATTTACTTACATTTCCAAACAATCTGAATCAGGTGCTCCAATTATCTCTATTTCCATAGATGATTAACAAACACTTATGCATGCAGTTTTCTTGTAAAAACATTTGTGAGAGTCTGTCGCTCTCAGCAGAAACCAGCTTAGTGGATTCCAGGCCTTTATCCTATTTGGAAGCAACCTCAGCAATAAGTTCAGTTAACTAATTTCCTCTCAACAAATATTTCACATGCAATCGCTAGTATTAGTTGCATTGTAAAACAGAGATGTGCTAAAATGCTAGGAGGAGGTTCTTGGGTCACTGATGTATTGCAGAGCACTTAGATTCAACCTCCAGAACAGTACGCAGACAGCTTCATGTGATGAGCTTCCATTGCCTGGTATCTACATTCAAATATTTCATTGCCAAATGCAATGCAAGAAGTTTAATAAAGTTATGAAAAGCATCCTTCAACTTTACTCTTTAGCAGCAGAGACATGTTCCCTATAATAACGAGTTGTACTTCGCTGTCTGGAAACTCAATGGACACTTCTGGGATTGGAAGGTGTCAGGAGAATGGGACTTATCTGACTGCATCGTGTGAAATGAAAGTTTTCGGTCAGAGAGGGGTTTATGGTGGGGGGCTGTTTTTCCCGGATTTAAACTCAGCCCTTTAGTTCCTAAAAGGTGACACTGCACCAGTGCACAAATCAAGGTTCATAAAGACATAGATGAGTGAGTTTAATGGGAAAGAACTTGACTGACACAGGGTCCAGATCTCAACCTGATAGAAAAAACCTTTGGGATGAATCTGAGCAGAGACTGTAAGCCATGTCTCTGGTCCAACATCATCCTTTGACCTCAAAAATACACAAAAATGCCCACAAACTCTTTCATAAATCCAGTGAAAAGAATTCCCAGAAGCCTCAAGCTGTTAAAGCTGCAAAGGACGGAGCTGACATCATATCAACCCCCATGGATTAGGAATAGGATGTCACTCAAGCTAATAAGTGTGTCAAGGCTGAAGAGGTTACACTTTTGGCAATAGAGTGGATCTGGTTCCTGGGCATTATAACCTGAATTTGTCTTTTTATATAAAATCTTGGTTCAGATTAAACTTAAGCCATCATTTAATATAATCTGTTGAAGTGATTAGATTGTGTTGGTAGGACTTTAATTCACTGTGTGTTTTTGTATAACTGGGAATGATTTAGGCCAGACTGTTTTTTCCTTGCTCAGTGGCGCAGTGGGTATCACTGCTACCTTGCAGCAAAAAGGTTCTGGGTTTGATTCCTGGCCCAAGGTCTTTCTGCATGGGGTTTGCATGTTTTCCCTGAGCATGCATGGGTTCTCTCCGGGTACCCCAGCTTCCTCCCTCAGTCCAAAAACATGACTGTTAGGTTAATTGGCTTCTCTACAGTCCCCTTAGGTGTGAGTGTGTGCGTGAATGGTTGTTTGTCATGTTTGTTTCTGTGTTGCCCTTTGATGGACTGGCGACCTGTCCAGGGTGTACCCCGCCTTTCGCCTGTTGACTGCTGGAGATGGGCACCAGCACCCCTTGCGACCCCTCTCGGGATAAGTGTATTAGAAAATGGATCGATGGATGGATGTTTTTTCCTTTAGATATTATTTTTTTATTACATGTCTGGTAAAGTTTGGTATAAAAACAATTCCCCACAACTGAGATTCATGACAACATGTAGGACTTTCCTCCCAATTCAGACTTCTATGTGGGTGTCAGTCTCACCCCAGACACTGATTTTTGCTGTAATAAAATGACAAAAGATAGAAAAGTTCAAGGGACATGGTCAAGATTTTCTTAGGAGCACCTGCTGATATTAAAAAGCGAATTCAGTGTAGAGTAAGTCTGTAATGCTTCTCAGTGTCTAATCATAGAGATGTAGGAGAGGGTAAACACAGCTAAGCCACAGAGCCCATGAAGATTCACAACATTTAATATTACTAGACTTTATAAACTCCAGAGAGACCGGGGACGCGAGTGACTGAGCATGCTGTCGGTGCACGGCCCGCTCATCTCTGTTAAACCCTGAAAGACCTCATTATCTCGCAATCATGGTTAGATCTATTCAAAGCACCGTAGGCCTCGTTATCCTATCATGTGATAACGTGACTAGAAAGATGACGATGTGTTTATGTGAAATTAGGTCTATTTGAAGTGAACAGACATATTCTCAACTGTTCTGTCTCTTGTTTGTTTCTTCCCCCCAGAGACAACTTCTTAGTATTAGATATTTTCTTTGAAGCACTAAACTACGAAACGATTGAGCAAAAGAAGGCATACGACGTTGCAGGTTTATTAGGTAGGAAATCCTCCTCTACAGATGTTTTTTTTTTTATAAAATACCTTTTTTTAAAGCAGTGGATATCAGTTTTGTAAAATTGTAAAACAAAATTACAACCAGCCTTGAAATTGCTCTCCTTAAGCACTTGTTTTTATGTTTCAGGTGACATTGGTGGACAAATGGGTTTATTCATCGGTGCCAGCATCCTGACTGTCTTAGAAATACTGGATTACATCTATGAGGTAAGTATTCAAGCTGACTTAAACTTAACATCTATTTCCATAAGCAATAATTAACAACTTGATGGATTTCATAGAGCTGCTGTCATTGTTTTGTTGTTTTCTTTTAGGAGGAAAAAATTATCGTTCTGTGTATATACAGATCTGTTTGTGGTCATACAGTTGCAGAAACCCAACAAGTTCTGGATTTTTAAAGATTTATTCAGATCAATATTTTTTCTGGATGAAATTATGTTGTAAAAGACAACTTCTAAAGAACAATCAGGTTATGTATTTTTGTGACAATTGTCCTATTTGGAAACTCTGCTCTAATCCTACTTAGGAACAATAAATAGTTTTAACAATCAAAAACATTAACATGCATTTAATTCATGTTGCAGGTGACATTCAGATTGCCTACAAAATTTCAGTGCAAACATTTCGAAAATTTAGGTGCAAAGTGGGTTGTACCACCCCATTAACATGGGGGTTTTACACCCTAAATTCACTTAAACTCTGCCCCGGTCCTTTCTAGAGCAGATCCACATTAGAACAATGCAAGGATCACATAAGAATAGAACTATATTTTATCGCTTTAAGCTAACAAGGTAGAGCAAATGCTACAGAAATCAGAGCCAAGGCTCGTACAGATTGATGAAACACACTCAGTCAAAAGTCCAAGAGTTTCAATCTCTGCTTTACTCTGGCTTCTACACTGATGGTAGGTACGTCCTCAATAAATCAGTGAAATAAAAATGCGTTGGGTCTTAAAGGGTCTTATCTCTTAACCACAGATGTTTTTTTAGTTACGTGTACCCTATTAATATGTGAGCTTATGTCGCACTAAGAGGAACATTGTATTCCAACTTTCCACCACCCCTCAGTTTCTGTTCATTAAAAAAGCCACAGGAACTTAAGTCAGCAAAACAGTTCATGGTAATCTGCTCTATAAGCTGAGGCTTGATTAAACCAAAGTCTCAAACAGTGTGTTACTGGCTATTACCATGGAGAACGGATTTTATTTATTTTTTTTCTCCCAAAGGTAGTTTCGATTTGCAACAGCATTGCACGCAGATGCCCTTTATGATGAAGATTCATATAAAGGAAAAGAGAAACTGTCTTCTCCTTCTTAGTGAAATGAAAAAATAAGGAGAAACTAGTATATAAAATGATATTGAGCCACAAAAAGTGGTAGCATAGCCACTGGCATCTGGATTACATCACCTGTTGTAATCAGTCAGTTTTAATGTTTCTGTTTCTGAACATCTTTACCTAATTTCTGTGACATCATCTATCAAGACCGCCATCTTTCTTTAATGCATAATGATTTTATTTTGATTAAAAAACTATTAAACTGTAACTCAAATGGTTCTAGAACCTTGAACCTGCCCACATACAGTATACTATTTGAAAAATTGCGCCAAGCAGGGATAGCAAAGAGGACAACTTAACATTATGGGGTTAAGAGCACAGCGGAGATGGACAGTGGCAATCTGGCAACACAGCAACACAAACATGGATTGCAGGGCAATCCAATGATAATGCTGCAACCATCATAGGAACCTTCAATAAATATAGAAACAGACTTGATAAACAATGATAGGTAACATTGAGGTCATGTAACCCATTAATACAAAATACTCTAAATGCCAAATTATCATTTTAGACAAAAATAAAAGTCTCTTCTTTTTAGTCCAGTTTTAAGACATTTTCATTTTTTGGTTATTTATGTCTTCAAAATTAAAGTTTTTGTATATTCATACTGTCATGTGACTGACTGAGAGAAAAACTAATCTTTCTACCCATCTGGACAAATAATGAATACTTGATTTTATCTAACTTTAATGCATTTACTATTTTCTATCATCTTTATACTGAGGAAACGCATTGTTACGTTGTTGTTATTCTGTTTTGTGTCTTACAGTATAACAATGTATAGGATTTTCTTTTACAATTCGAATTGTTTGAGTAACCAATCTTCAATAGGCTTGGCAAGGCTAATAATATTTATATTAAAAAGTGAAAAAAAAAATGGCTCTTATTAATTTTGCAAATTTGCTTTAGAAATATGCAAAATATTTGTAGTTTTTGGGTAATGATTTATTTTTATGTACTTAGACCAAAAAAAACTATCCAAACCAACCTGTTCCTATAGAAAAATAACCTCAACAGAGGAGCGATTGTTGCAACATTTGTCAGTAAGAATTAAAATCAAGTGTTTGGAATAACTGCAAATTAATCTTTTTCATCGCTGTGATGAAAGCGTGAGTGGCCTACCTAAGATAGAGCCATATAATCAATTCAGTATTTTAATTGTTATTACGATTTATTTTTTGGAAAATCAAGATTCTTTTCACCAATAAACTTGTTTGGCCTCCTTCTTTAACATCAGTTAATAACTGATAAACTACGGCAGGCCAGCCCAACTCTGTTGGTTTTAAGATGGATCTTGGACGAGGCTACTTCAAATCCCTAGTTTTATTTAATTTTTTATAAACACTTCAGCAGAGAACTTACTGGTTTTCTTTAGTTCATATGCAATCATGTGTCTGTGTTTGCTCCTGTTTTAGAATAAGATTGAGGACCATTTTCAGTTTTTAACATTTGGAGTGGGGACCTTTTTATAAAGTGAGGACATTTTGGCTGGCTCAGCTATTTTGCTAATGGTTGGGTTTAGGGTTAAGGTGTAAATTGGGTTAGGATGAGGTATGTACCCGTAATTGTAAGGTTTAGGGTTGTTTTCAGGTTCAGGGCATAGAAACGGTTGTAATGGCTGAAAATCAATGGGAGTCGACACATGGTCCTCACTACCTACAGTCAAATGAGAATGTGTGTGTGTTTTATACTGTATTTTTTTTATATTGGCGGTTTAAATGTAATTATTTAATATGGAGCAGATACATTTTCATATGAGCTCTTGCTAAATTGCATTATTTAAAAACTCCAGTTGTCTTCAATTTATATTAATATTTGTCAGATGTTATGAGAAATGTGTTGCAAAAAAAAAAAGCAAATCTAGGAGAAATTTGAAAAGGAGCAAATACTTTTGAACTGAGAAAGTATTTGAGATTGAGATTAATTAAAAAGATCGCAAACGTTATTCAAGATTACATGTACCAAGTAGTGTATTTGTTTCTTGTTTCTTATTACTTGATGTGCTCTTGGTGTAACCAGCTGATCAAGCATCGGCTAAAGCGTCTGCTGAGACCGCAGAAAGAAGAGAAGAAGAATACCCAGCCGACCACAACTGTTGCAACTGTGGGTCTGGAAGAAATAAAAGCAAAGGTACTGAACAAAAACCACACAGTAATAAATTACTCTTTCCTTGTTTTCATTCAGCTCTTACATCCTACACCCTTACCCTGCGGCATTGCAACTGTATTAGAAAACAGCTACTTGATAAGTAAGAGAGAAGCAAATTAATATTTTTCTACCACATGAGAATAAGGAGTGTAATGCTTCTAATTATTTTTTAACCACTTTGCAAAACACAGCCTCCTCTGGAGCTTAAATTCATTATTGCCCAACTGAATTCCTGCTTCTATTCAAAACAATAGACGTCCTATGCTGAATCTAAGCAGAAGTTAGCTAAAGTCTGCTTTGCATTTTGCAATTGTGACAGATGGTGTAAGTAATTTGGCTAAACAGCTGTAAACTCCAGCAGGGATTCAAAGTCAGACGGGAGCCCTGTTGAGCTGTTTCATTGGAGACCTTTAGGAGTCACAGAGAGGTGAAGAACAATGACGTTAACTGTTGCATATGTTGTGTAAAGCAGAACTTTTGCTGTATTCTGATTCTATGTGATTTTATTAAAATCATAATTTGAATCACTAAGAACCTTACAGCTTATTCTGATATAAAACTAATAAAATATCTTTAGATGCTAAAAGTTTTTACTATTTTTCTGTTGAGGTCCCTTTTTATTACATAGTAAGCCAATTCTAAGAAAGGGCAACAGCTGCATGTTAGAAATACACTGATAAGCAGAATGTAATGAAGATAACCTGCTTAGAATGAACAGTTTTGCCTTTAAAGCAGCTGCTGCATCTAAACAGCTGGTAACTTGAAGTGATTTAAATTACGAAGTTGTGTCAAAGTCCCTTTGGTTCTGCAGTCCAAACCGTGTGCTATGAAAGCACACACAGCCCCATAGTCTGACCACATGACTATAAATCAGAGGTCACAGTTTAGGGGACCGGATCCGGACCCACCTGCTGGCTAATCCGGACCCAACCTGATTTAAAACATTGAGAAATGACAGAGTGTCTAACTTCACTTGCGCCGCTTCTCCTGTCAATATGGTAAAGCCGTCCAGAGCCTCTGGGACCAGGCTGCCATAATACAAAATATCCAATGAGCTGCTGTCAGTCTGGGTTGCTGCTGCTGCCACTTTTAGACACAGCAGGCAAACCTGTGGCAAGCCGGGCGATGGGAAAGAAGGAGAAGACAATGAGAAAAAGAGAGCAGAAAAAGTGTGGACTGCTGGAAGAACTGCGATGAACTGCTGAAACGAAAGTGTAATGGTGCTCAAAAATGACCCTGCACATTCAAAGTATGTTTGGCTCAACCTGCTGCTGTAAAGTAGGATTCTCTACCATGAACAGAATCAAAAATAAAAATGGATCCAGGCTCAAATTGAGTTCCTTGATATGTGCTTTAAAATGGGATTTAAAAGCCTTGCAGGGCAGCCTAAAGCCCACTGCTCTCATTTAGCCATAAAAAAGAAAGAAAAAAATAACAAAAGCTCAGTTCAGGTGTTTTATAAAATATATGAATCTGGAAATAGTCTATATACCAAACTGAGCAATTGTTGTTCTCTA